AACCTTTGATTTCAAAGAGGGCCCTGCCTCTCTGCTGAATGCTTCCCCCCTCTCCTTCATCTGTTGGTGGCAGTTATTTGTTTGCAGTTGATCTGTTCATTTGATCGCCAGTATATGTGCAATAAAGAAAGCAGCATACAAAAATCTTAATTTGAAGCAACTGTAAAGAAAGAAATGTAAACCACGCAGAGTTGGAGTGGTATAGAAATTGAAATAAGTAAATAAATTTCTCAGAGTGAGTTTTGAGACCTTAAGTGCCAGTTAATGAGAAATGGGTAGACTCTGGGGAAACTTGTAATTATTTTTCTCTGTGAGTCTCTGTGCTTATATTGCGTAGCAAAAGGAATTTTACCAGAAATTCAGAACTCTGCAACATGATGTGCCTTAGTCTGCTGCTAAGAAAGCAAGATAAGGCTCCCTTCTTCACAATGCATTCAGTACTGTTTGTATTGCCATTAACTTGGGATAGCACTGCTGCTTCAAGTAATGATTATTACCAAAGTCCTGGGACATGCCATTCCTGATCCGAAAACACCTTATCCTGATGCTGAAACTGTGACACTGTGGACTGGATCCCATAGCCATCAAAGTCAAACCCTATTAATATGAGTGATGAACTTCTATTCCAACTGGTGGCTTCCGAGGCTCTTAGCCCCCCCCCCAAAAAAAAATCTGCTTCATGATGAGTGGCTTCAGCTTTTTCTGGTGCCCTCTTTACCAGAATTAGCAGCTTGTCTCCTTGGTGTCTTTCCCAAGGACTGCATCTTTCTGCTGCCTCCCTTGACCTTCCCTTGATTTATTTCAAAAGATTAAAGGCTGCATCAGTATTCTGTACCTCTCCTTCCCAAAGGAGGGTTAACTAACTTTGAATCAAATCTTGGATATATTGGAGCTAGATCCCCATGTACATATTCCGTGCCTAGTGGCTGCAGTGTGAAGTGGGGATCTGTTGTGTGAAATTACACCCAAGGTTGCAACATTCTGGGCATAAGAAAACAGATGGTTAAATCACTGCAGTAATCAGATTAGAAATACAGCAGCTTGTATAATAAGAAAACAGATGGTTTAATCACCGCAGTAATCAGATTAGAAACTTACACTGATTGGCAGCTTGAATTCTAGTCTGCTTTGTATTGCTCGGACATAATACAGTATATGATCTGTTACTGTATTTAAGTTTTGTACCTCTGACATGGCTGACCTATGGTCATAATAACAATTGGACATACTATATGATGTGTTACTGTATTTAGGTTTTGTATCTCTGACGTGGCTGACCTATGGTCATAATAACAATAAAGTTAAGTTTGTGATCTGTTGTGTGCGTCAAGGTGTTGTCACAAATCTAGCATCACTGAGATCTGTTGTGTGTGTCAAGGTGTTGTCACAAATCTAGCATCACAAGTAAAGCTAGAACTGGCTTCAGATTTCAGCAGATCTTAGACAAAATTCCTTCTTGGCTAAGATCTACTGGCATATCTTCCTACGCCAGTATGCCACAGGGTATCTACCTCCAGCGGTGCGGCAGACTTTTTATTGTTTTGGTTTCCCCCCCTGAACTATTCACAATTCCCTTGTCAAGATGGCCCAAACTCTGCATAATATTTCAGGAGCCATTACATAACCCTTACAGGGCCATCACGTGGATTTCTGAGTGAATGTACGTGGATGATTTTGCACAGTAAAATAGAAGCACTACAGAAATACTAAAGTTCTAATTCTTTGCCCATTTACTGGAGTCGCTCAAAGGAAAACTGGGCAACCATCTGTCAGATCGGCTTTGATTTGGATTCCTGCCTTGAGCAGGGGGGGCGGGGTTGGAATCAATGGCCTTACAGGCTCCTTCCAACTCAGTAATTCTATGTTTTTATGTTTCTGCATTGAAGTAATGCACACTTATAAATCTTCTCTTAGGAGATAAAGGCAGCCTACATAGTTCTGTTCTTTGTTGCCACTTTTGTCCTTAAAACAATGCTGTGAGGTGTGATAAACTGAGCGACAGTGACTGATACAAGCCTCAGCCCCTCAGTGAGTAGGGATTTGAACCTGGTTGTGGCGTTCACCCTTATTATGTTAAACAAGTCATGCATTATTCATGTTTTATGCTGATATGGTTAAGAGGTGGGGCCACTAGAGATGTTAAAAGGTGGAGCCAGAAAGTAGGATCTGAGTTTGAAGGGGGGGGGAGAGAGATGGGAGATCTGAGGTGTGATTAATCTGAGGAGTGAATAGTAACCAGTAAGATAAAATAGAAGGTTGTTATTGACGCTTGATGAACCTGAAGAAGATACTTATGAATTATTATAGAAACATCTGTAATCAATAAACCTGTTTTATTCAAAAGACAGTGATGAATAGATCCTCATCTTTCTTAAGGAAAGTGCGTTGATAAAGAAATCAACTGGTGGTAGCGTGTGAAAAGGTGTTTTGTTTGGTTTGCCTTTGTGTGCTCTCTGTTTTGGGGTGACAAATAGGGGCCACAAAGGGGTAAACATCATACTGGGTTTCTTCAATCCAAGACTGTTGTTCAACGCACTACATTACTATTATTGGGAAGTCAGCATATAAACTTTTATCTCACATGAACTCATTCTGTTTTGGAAACTCAACATCCTGCACACACACCACAAAATCTCTTTTGATTTCCCAGCTTTGATATTTGGGAACAAATACATTTTCTTGTATTGTATATACTAGTTATATTTTTACCTTCCTCAAATGGAATGTGAGACACTTCTTTGGCTCAGCCTCTCTATATAAATAGAAAAAAATAGATCAGCAGTCATGTCATGCTCTGAAAATAAAACCTAGCCACTGCATGACCTAAGCGCGGGGCAGTTGTAAAGACGGATGTGTTACAGAAGGAGAACTCATATGATCTGAAATGCCCACATTGATAAAAGAAGCTTATAGCCCTTGGTTGGAATTCAGGTTGGAATAAATGTATGGGAATGCCAAAAATATATACCAGAAAACACATAGGGAAGTGTATAAAGAGTCTAAGGCTCTGTGGTTGGTTGAGGGTGAGCATTGTTTTCTAGCTATGTGCACATCACATGTATTGCTTTTAAACTTGTCAATGATTTCTGCACTGCAACAGATGGTGCTAAAGGGCCAGTTTCTCCTTTCGCGATGGAGGCGGAAATCATTTTGCTGGTGTCACAAGAATCACTGCTAGGAATGGTTGCCAATTCAGCTGGGTCAGATTTAAAAAAAAAACACAGAATTTTCAAGTCCACAAAATTATTTGGGAATGTGATGAGAGGAACTGATGATCAAAAGCATTCACATGTGGGAGAAGGCAAGATTAATGGATTTGCTCTTCCATGTTGAGGGTTTCAAAAGGCCTAGTTCTTAGAAGGCTGGTTTTGAATTCTGGCTTATTCAATCATGTTCGTGGTGCTGGATTCGTCTTGTCAATTCTTCTTCTTTTCCTTTTTAACATCCTCATTTTTCACACTTGCGTGGCAGGGAAATATATGGTGTTCATCTGTGTTGGTGAACCTACTAAATTGAATTTGGCCAGTGCGGATGGTTGAGAATTTTGTCTGTTTCCGGCTTTTCTAAGAATTTCCCATTCATTTGCAAATTTCTTCAGAAATTCAATGGAAAGACCTCAAGATTTTAAAAGAAAAAGCAGCAGAAGTATGGATAGAAAGCAAAACAGAGAAATTAATCCATCAGTTCCTCTCATCAGTATTCTTCCATCTGGAACTAATGCTTTAAAAAGCCGCTTTGCACCATTCAGACCAGAAAAGATGTCTTTTTAAAAATTTTGGTTCCCAAAGTCTCTCAGTCAACATGGCGACTGCAGTACAAACAAGAACTTTTCCATCTCTACTTCAGGTCTATATATAGAATGTGGAAAAGTTGCTTTTTGGACCACAATTCTGGGAGATTATTATATTGTACTGTATTATACTTTTCTTTCTTTTCTTTTTTGCTGGTCTCTTAATGAAAGATAACAAGTTCTATTATTTTATATATATACCTTGTCTTTGTGGACGGGTAATAGGTCAGTGTCAGAGTACATGCTTTGCATCCCGAAGAACTGCTGGATAGCTCAGTGGTTTAGATCTCTGGCTGCTGAGCCAGAGGCTGGGAGTTCGATTCCCCACTGGGCCCCCTTGACAGGAGCTGGATTTGATGATCCATAGCGTCTCTATGGATCATCAAATCCAAAACCTAAGGGACGTGGTGGCGTTGTGGGCTAAACCGCAGAAGCCTGTGCTGCAGGGTCAGAAGACCAAGCAGTCGTAAGATCGAATCCACGTGACGGAGTGAGCGCCCGTCACTTGTCCCAGCTCCCGCCAACCTAGCAGTTCGAAAGTATGCAAATGCGAGTAGATAAATAGGGACCACCTCGGTGGGAAGGTAACAGCGTTCCATGTCTAAGTCGCACTGGCCATGTGACCACGGAAGATTGTCTTCGGACAAAACGCTGGCTCCATGGCTTGGAAACGGGGATGAGCACCGCCCCCTAGAGTCGAACACGACTGGACAAAAATTGTCAAGGGGAACATTTGCCTTTACCTTTACCTAGCGTCTCTACCAGCTCTGCAGTTCTAAAATGATGATGAAGTCCACTAGTTCAATCTCTCACATTTCCAGCAGAAAAATACCCTGGAGTTCTGTTCTTCCCAATGACTCCAAGAGACATTAGTAATGTTTCTTGGAGAGAGACTTTAATATTGGCTGGGGTGATTACTCATGGTTTCTAGTGCTGGTTAGTTACCTAACTTTGTAGTCCTTTGACATTATTGCATGTTTGCAAAAGTCAAGAAGTATCAAATCATATATTAAGGGAAATCTGTACTTTGTGATATTATGTTTTCCCTCCAGGTGTATTGTTCCTTTCAAGGACAATCAGACTTGTAAAGAAAACCTGTGTTTTCCTCCCATTGATGAATCAGAAACAAAACTGGTTAAGGGAAATCTGTACTTTGTGATGTTATGTTTTCCCTCCAGGTGTATCATTCCTTTCAAAGGAAAGAAAGGAATGTAAAGAAAACCTGTGTTTCCCTCCCATTGATGAATCAGAAACAAAACTGAACAATCCACAACAAAAGTAAGCTACTCTGCACAATGCTGAATAAGACATCTTTGTGCTAGGATAATCAGACATCTTTTATTACTTCTGGGAGTTCTGCTTCTATTGGATTTAGAATCCTAGCTGTATTGTCCAGTTTGGGCCTTGAATAAAAGTAACTGGGATTGATTGAAAGAGGAAGTGGCAGGTAAGTTTCCCTGGCCAGTAAGGGGCCATTTAGTTCCCCCTCCAACAAGAGAGGTGCGTGCAAAAGTCCTGAGGTTTTGCAACAGAAGAAAATTGGAATTAACCCCAAATACAAACCTAGGAGAAGGAAACGCAAGAAAAGGAATTTAAGTGACCAAGTCTTTTATTCACAGCTAAAGTCTAGTTTACAATGCAGCTATGTTTCTAAAAGTTAAAAGTGAGGAGAGGACAGAAAGTAGGAAAGGGTGGTTGTTTTCCTTCTTTTTTGTAAGAAAAGAGCATTAAAATGAAATTAGGAAACTTATTTTTGCAAGGAAAAATTCACTGGAATCAGCTTTCCAGGTTTGTATGCCGAATGGTACCGATACACTAGATGTAGAACTAAGCCGTTCAGACAAAGGAGTGAGACTTCCAGGTTGACATTTCCTCCCTTGAGAAGGTGGACAACATTGTGTAATACAGCCCTCCCTTCTCTCCCACCATCAGAAAACAGTTACTATACACAAAATAAATATCTTTTACAAGAGGCTCAGTACAAAGCTACAATCCTTCACTGAAGGGAAACATATATACACATATAAATCCTGTATATAACTTATTTTTTACGTACATCACCATAAATGCTACATGTTGTGTTGTTTTTAGAGAAGGGCATCAATCAGGCAAGCCTTCAAATAAAAGCAAGCTTTCCACCATTTCCTTTAAAACTGAATCGGGCAGTGTGGCCAGGAAGGACAGCAGTGATAGACTGGAACAGAGAGTTTGAATGGGAAAGTCCTTAAGGAAGCATCTTTAAGGTGTAGACTGAAAGGCCAGAATCCTGTTGCCCTAGGCAGTCCTGTCAGAGCAATCGTGCAAAGGAAGGTATCTGTTTCCCATCCTGTCCGTTGCATGCCCTGTCTTTATCAGGTTGCACAATCGATGATGTGACCAGACATACCACTAGAAGCCTGGCAAATGAGGACAATGCCTGTGTAATTCTGATCAACTGGATTTTGGCCTCAACTGGGTTAAATGGGAATGCATGAGGCCCTTCTGATGCAACTGTTCATATCACAGCTTTCTTTTTTTATTGATATCCCTCAGCTCCTCAGATGGTTTGATCAAGGAAGAGCCTGTGCATTTGCTGTGGGAAATGGGTGACAATTTAGGGGATTTATGGACTTCTCCCAAGGCAACGTTGGCGCTGCTCTTAGATGGAATGAGATGATCAAGGCAGAATGAGGTTAGCAGTTGACCAAAACTTGACAATGCTAATTTCAGTACTACTATTTCTCCCATTTTTAAAAAGGCATGAGCTGTGTATGGCATGCCCTAGTTCCCTCCAACTGGCCTGCCTTAGGTAGAGCAGAACATACTACCTCAGAACTGATACTGAAGGCCGTTTTGTGTCTTGTGTTTCCCAAGTTCTTAAAATAAAAGAAGGAGGAAGCATCCAGAAAAAGAGCAAAGAGCCAGGTCCTGGGACCTGGGTTCACAGGCACAGGTAACATTTATTGATTTTGGCCCACTTGGGACTCTTTTACAGGGCTGTAGCTGTCATGCGATAGAAGAGTCCTCTTTGTGATGGCCGACTTGCATGTAAAAATCATCAGTTGATACTTCTGCCAGTTGAAGAAGATATATTTATGAAATCAAGCCATGCACATATAACAGACCATCAATGGGCAGGTTCCCTGGGCTTTTTTTAGACTCCCAAGAATTTATCTTTAAAATCAGACATATGCAACTTTGAGAACATCATGGCCTCTTTCTTGAATGCCTGAGCGATAGACCTGATATTGCTGCTTGCTTCATGAATTCCCTTAGGCTCTTAGCCTAAGTGAGTGAAATGAATGCTAAGTAAATGAAAAATGTTGCATGACTCTATCCTGGAGAACAGGGGGATCCTCAGAATCTTGTGTGATTCTGCTCTTCTGCCACTGGTAGTTTTATTTCCAATGCCATGGGCAGCCACAAGGAGGGTGCACTCACAATTTACGGGCAGCAGTGGGGCCAAATAAATACGATGGGTGATCTGATGGAACCAAAAGGGCGACCGAGAATATGTCCAATAATTGTGCTCAAAATGCAAAGGGTTCTTGCACACAGATGGGAGGAGAGTGCCTTGAGGAAAGGAAGCTCGAAAAGACACCGAGCGGGGTTAGAGGAGTTGGCTGCATGATTTAGAACATCCTGAGGGTGGAACCCAAGATAAGTGAATTGTTTCTGGAAATTAAGGAGATGCACCAGTATGGTTCTAAGAGCAAGTAGCCTATCACCATGGATGGAGAGGAATGGCCTTCTTTCTTTTAGGCTAGGATAAGCTTGGGATAAAACTGACAATTCATGTGGGAGACCCTGTCCTTCGCTGTGAGACTGTTTTTGGTATCCTGGGTGCTGGCCAGTTGGCATTCACTGTACCATTCTTTTTTTCAGTAAGGGTTTGTATACATTTGCCTTTCTCCCCCACCCTCAGCAAAATACAAGCATGCAAGAACGGAGAGCCAAATTGGGCTTTAAAAACTGCAGCTCATGGACTAGGATACGTTGGTTTTTTTTTTTCCTGTAAAAGGGAAAACCAAACAGCAGCCTCTCCTGATGACATTGATAAATGAGGTGTTCCTCTCTCCAATTCTGATTCGAGCACAGGCTTCGTATAACAAGCCTATCTCTAACACCGCTTCAGGGAAATGTCAGGCAAGAATGCCGAACATATTCCACAGCGGTGCTCCCGACAGCCCAAGAGGAACGATGGGCATGGTGACCTTTTGGGTTTGGAAATACAGGGCCGGAGGGAGGAATGAATAGAGAAAATGACAGTGTCATTGAGCATATTGCTGGGGATGACTGAAATCTCATTTCTGGTGGATAACCTCATGCACGGCCTGAAGACCAAGGCAGTATTTTAAGTGCATCAGATGTAGATCGAATGCCCCTTCGCTGCCTTGAAAACACCAAGGAACTGCAGAAGAAATGGCTTTGAAAAGATCCAATATGAAGGTAGGGTCAGCACCTAATGGTAAATGCTGTAGTGGCAAGAGCCCATGACATCACCAACACATCTTTTCCCATTTTTTTTCCAGTAAGGTGAAAGAAAGACGTGTTGCTTTGGTCCAGCATTTGAATTAGGGGCTTTCCAGATGGGGTATTTGTCCCACCTCCTGTTTTATCACTCGGTGCTGAAGGGGCACAGAATTTGCTGAGGTTCACACCCCAGCTTCTCTTAGAAATGCTTTTTTTTCCAGAATGCAAACTTTATTTAAAGAAATCCAGGTCTCCACTCAGAATATTTTTTCTCTCGAAGGCTTCTGACTAGGAGGTTGTGGTCACAGTGGAGAACTTCCAACAGGATGTGCCATCAAACTATCCTTTGCCCCTGGTAAAAAGGGATAGTTAAAAAAAAATACACCATGTTTCCAAGAGGCATGGAAAGGAATGCAAAGTCAGAAGAATGCACTGCACTAAGCGAGTCAAGAGGGATGTCATAGGGATGGTGGGGAAATTATTAACATCAGTGCAGAAACCAGTACTTTTAAAAGAACAAATGCTCTGTCTGGAAAAGCCATGAATAAGACATGTACTTCTGCAAAGCAAGAAACAAAGTGGAAAAGCCAGAGTTAAGAACAATATGCTTTATCTTCATCCCTAAATACATTTCTGCTTCCAATACTGACACATCAGTCATGCAAATCCTTTTACTGATCTTCAGTTAAGCTCACACCAATATTTATCTACATGAAATCAAAAAATTCTTCTCTACATGGCCTGTCCAAATATTTCAGATTTACCCTGGGTCAACTAAGTGTTTTCCTTCCTTGTTAGAAATGGACCTGAATGGCCCCGGGGTAGGGAAGGAACACTAACCAAGATTCTTTGGCTGGCTTTCAGTGTCTTAAAAAGGGCAAACCAAAAAACACACCCTGTAGATTACTGTATTATCTTCTACAGTTGAAACAGATGCTACAGCGAGCTTGTCATTAGAAGATAAAAGTATGTTAGTGCATCAAGCGTGTTTCTGAGCCATCGGGGTGCAAATGAAGACCATGTTTAATTGCTGATGAGCCATCACAAAACAAAGCAAGATCTTTCCCCCACGAAGAAACCCTCAAGAAGATGACAGATTAAAAAAAAAAACAACACTTAATGAATTGGTGCTTCCTACCAACACGCTCCCCTTTAGCATCTAGTTTCACATCCCCTGTAACCCTCACTCTAATTCTGAGACACTCTGTGTCTTGAGTTGGTTATTATTATTTAAATAGAAATTGTATTTTATCAGTAAAAGGAGATACACTAGAAAAATGAAATATCAAAAGCCTGCCACTGCACTGGAAAACAGCTGCGTATTAAAAAGAAGATTGGGGGCAGCGATGAAGTCAAAGGAACATCACTGAAGGCAAATTATTATTTCTAGCAAACATATGACATCACTAAAGGATTCTCCGGTCTACCTTAAAACAAAATGCAAATCCAGTGGTTTGGCTCAAGAACTCCCTGTAGGTCATAAGGAACCCTATCTCCTCTCCAACCCTATTCATAGGCTAAGAAATGTTCTTGGCGTCTTCTATAGAAACTCTTTATATCCTTCTGAAAGAGACTGGGACTGTTGCCAAACGTCTCAAGCCTAAAAAATTAAGACCGCTGTCTGACAAGGACAAGCCTACTGGCCAAGAGTCACTATTGTTAGCAGTTTAAAATCACAGCAGAAGATTTTTCTCCTTATGAAGGTTTGGACCAGAAGCTCCAGCGTAGTAAGACACACAGGAAGACACCAGAAGTAAGTGCAGAGAACATTTACTTGCTGTACATATTTACATAGTGCTCACAGGAACATAAACATAGGCATTCAGCAGTCGAACGGACAGAACGTAAGCACGACAGTCAAAATAGAACTATGAAGGGGATACTAGCCAGCCTCTTAATTTATTCTACCTCCAACCCATCAAATTAGTGGCTCACCTCGTGGCAGTTAATTCCACATGGCTGTGTCCTTCTTTTCACATTAGGCAGTGACTAAATAACTCTACCTGCACTAACCAATTGTTAATTACATTTCTTCTTCTTAAAGACCTAACAACTATCTTCCCTCGATGGGTCTGGCCTCTCAGGCATCTTTTTGTCCCAGTATTTAACATTTCTGCTTCAGGTTGCTTCCGGAACCTTGAAATGCAAGAAAAGCATCTCAGGCTCAGGGGTTTAGGACTTCTGCTGTGGAGCTAAGAGTTTGGGGTTCGATTCCCTACTTGTGCCTCTTTGACCGGGCCTGGACTCAACAGTCGTTGGGTCCTTCCCAGCTCAGCAGTTCTATGATCATCATCATCATCATCGTCAACATTTTCTGTCAAGATATTGTTTGAACTGGGGAAGAAAAAAATTAGGTCACAGTCCTAAGGTTTACTCCATAGCAGATCTTGAAGATATTTATTTGTTTGTTTGTTTTGATTCCCCTTAAAGGATTTTAAAGGTCTCACTTAGTGGTTTTGCTTACAGAAGCTCACAAATTCCATCCTTGCCAAAGGCATGTAAAATCTCCTTTTTAATTATTATTATTTTTTTGGAAGTGTGACAAAGTCACCTTGAGAAAGAATCAATCTTGCTATCAACAGGTCTCGGGACAGCTGCTTTCAGCTGGAGCCCACTAGATAAGTTGCAGTAAAATCTCCATCCTTAATAGTGAATTTGGCATTCAGTACACCTGGAGGATGACAGATGGGGGGGAAGGCTGATCTAGAAAGAACCCCACAATTAAAAGGAGCTGCACCCCTCTTATTTTCAACAGCTTAACCTTAGTTGTGCCAAGAGCACATCTTCAAAACTGACTTGCAAGTGTCCTCTCTATTCCCCCACTTTACATCTCCCAGTAGACACCAGCTTTAGAGACTTCACCTACTGCTGTCTCCCCCGCCCCCCATGCTTTAAGCTTATCTTTCAGCCCTTGGGCTACACAACAGCAACAAGTGAAAATGGTTTTCTGTTCACCTTTAGCTTTCTTTTAAGCACCAGAGCTTAAGTTGAGGTTTTTGATTATTGAGCTCATGGCCAGCCTAGACTGGGATGTTTGCTTCTAAGCCCTGTGATAAGCAAGAGATTGGTAAACCTCTAACATCTGTATGTTTTATTAATTAATGGTCATTGTAGAGCTTAGCAAAGATACTTTTAAAATCATGGTTTCTAATACTCCTAGGTGACTTTAGGTATCACAGATACAAAAGAAAATTTTTTTTCAAAAGATTCCCCCATGCTGAGTGAGATTATGAGAGTTCTGTGCATTTTCACATTTGGGGACTTTTTTTGGAAGGAGAAAAGGAGGAATCTCCATGTCCTAAGAATAGTAATTGGCCAAAATCTTGTTGCTTAGCACCATAGGCCCATTGAATCAGTGGGGATTTGGTGAGCTGACTGCTCCATAAGTTCTACTTATTCAAGTGGGCCTACTCTCTGGTGAGCTGACTCCTCCGTAAGTTCTACTTATTCAAGTGGGCCTACTCTAGCTGTGGCTTACTATGCTAAGCAAGAGGGTTTCAGCCACCGCACTATAAACAAAGGCTTTCTTTGCATGTCTAAATGTAGACATAATCACAACAAAGCAGAGCATACTGCTGGGAAGAAAATGATGGAACAGCATGAAAGTTCTATGCCTCTGAAACTGACTCCTCCGTAAGTTCTACTTATTCAAGTGGGCCTACTCTAGCTGTGGCTTACTATGCTAAGCAAGAGGGTTTCAGCCACCGCACTATAAACAAAGGCTTTCTTTGCATGTCTAAATGTAGACATAATCACAACAAAGCAGAGCATACTGCTGGGAAGAAAATGATGGAACAGCATGAAAGTTCTATGCCTCTGAAATGTGTGTTTTGGTTCTCTGAGGCATCTGAGAAAGTGCAAGTTTCAGACTGAGAGCCTGCCCAGACTGGCTATTTTGGGCTACAAAGAGTCAGGGGGAGGGGCAATGTGCTATTTGGCACTCTCCTTCCATTCGAACATCATATCAACTTTTAGCTCATTCCTCAGTCAGTTAAACACTTCCCCTGATCGTTTGCAAAGGGTCAGAAGAAGTGAAATTATCTTTATTGCATTTGTGAGATTGTCACTGATGAACCACTTCAATTATATTAACAAAATATATTTCTTTACCTATCTGTGAACTGAGAATCTCCCCTCAGCCATGGTTTTGATCAATAATACACAGACAGGCAAATAATTTTAAAAAAACAATAAAGCGATTAATCCCATCAGCAACGATCTAGATTTAATAATAAGTCCACATAGCCGACTTTCTGCAGATGATCAGGGGAAGTGTTCGATTTCTGACATTCTGAAGTGGCTCATATGTGAAAACAAGTGACAACACATGGCTAGGAATGGAGTAAACCAAAGCCCTCCAACCTGCACCAAAAGAGTAGAACCTCTGGAAAGGGGTTAAAAAAGGTGCAGGTTGGAGCAAATTGGTCCACTCCAGTGATGTCCACATGTGGGTGCTGGAAAAAAGGGCAAACCACCCCACCCCATCAGCACACAAAACAGCTGGACAAATGCCCATGTGGACAGGCTACAGTCTTTAATTTACAGAACCTCGTTCTAAAATAAATTGTCTAGCATTAAAGGTACCACAAGACTCCTTGTGATGCTGGAGCAGACTGATTGTGAAGCCCTTTGCAAACTGTGCTATTGTTTATACATTTTAACTTACTTTTTTGTTAACTCGGTATTCACCTCTCCCCCCAAAAAATCTTTCAATGTAGGTGAACATCACAGTTCCATATGGCTGATGTAAAGGACCGAGAGACAATGACTCGTCAAAGACCACCCACTGAATCCTTGACTGACGTGACCATCTGGATTTCTGCACCACATCACAACTTTTAAGAAATGGAAGTCCTCAAACTGTGCCACCTAATACAGATGTTCTGGGCTATAGTGGTTCCCTTGCTGTAAATGTGCCGGGGGGTGGGTGGGAGGGAATCTCCTTTAGGCAATCATTAACTTACTCTGTTCAAGAGGAACAAAACTAGTTTCCTCTCTATTGTGGAAAAAAGGTGGCAGGGGTCAGAGGCCTGGCACAATGATGGATCCTCGGTGAAAGGTTTTCTTCCCTTTTCACACAAGTGGAGCTCAGCCGCGCTCTTCGCGCTTGGCCAAAGCAGCGAGAATCCCTCTCCACACACATACACACACGGTGCAGAGGCAGCTTTGTTTGAAAGAGGCTGCTTTCTGCAGGAGGTCCGGTCATCCCGGCCTTGGGCCCACTCTTCTTTAGGTTGCCAAAGCCCGTTCTGCACCGTTGTGGCCCCAAGAGAGAGAGAAAGGAGCCAGCCAACGCCGGGGAATTCCACTGCTATTTCTCAAGCACAGAGCACTGTCTCACAATGTCCCCAAAAACAGCTGGACACTCCATGACCTCTGATGCTGGCATCAAAGAATACACAGGCTCTACAGGAGAGCTGCTCAAATCTTGTTTCTGAGGAGAGATGGAAGCAAAAGAAAACAGGCCCAGCAGTAGCTTGGATCACACCAGTTGCCTGCTGCTGGGGATAACAGCACAGCCTCAAATTGTTCCCTGTAATAAGCAAGAAGGGCTAGCTGGCTTCTAGATTGTACCACAGGACTGTAAGTGGCAGGGATAGAGAAACTCTGTAGTAACTAGCTCAAATTAAGTGCAATATTCTCCATAAAGCAAAGATACTAAAGGCAGGCAGGTTTCTTTTCTTTCTTTCAAATAGCAAAAACGTGAAACCCCCTTACCGTTTGAAATTGTTCAAGTTCAGAATTCTGCAACCTTCTGTTTCCTTAACAGCTCTGAAGCATTTCACTACACCCACATGGAAGCCTTATATTTTTAAAGCAAAGGGAGCTAAACTGTTTCTTTGCTTGTCTTTAAATGTTTGGTGCTGCACCAAGAGTAGAATGGGAGTTAATTTATGCTAGTGTCCCAAACATTAAAATCACAGGATGGAGGTATTTAGATATTAGGAGCAGCCGCATCAACCTACTAGTGCAAATGGCAAGATGACTCAGACTTGCTGGAAGGCTGGAACACTTCCCTGCCTGGCTGTCAAATCACAAGGAAGTGTCTCAGTTCTGCTACTTCATGGATCGGGCAAACGCATGCAGTGACAGGTTGATCTGTGCTTGGGTTGATCTTGTAAACTTGTCCTTATATGCACCAGCTTGATGCTTGAAAAGCAAGGCTGGGCACCTTCCCCTGAGTAAATTGTCACAATCTGCCAGTTCAAAGAGCATGTGTGGAGAGAGATCAAGAATCATAACCTGAAGGCCCAATCAGATGAAACGGGCAGCTTTGCAATTAAGAGGAATTAGTGGGCTGTCCTGAATCATTCTTATAGGGAGGTATTCTTCAACTCTGCCATTTTGCATACTCCATATGCAAACAGAGCTGGTCGTTTCTGCTGGACGAGCAGTCACTAAACAAAATTAAATGACTTCACACCAGTGAAAGATATAGAAGGATGATCTCCTCTACTGCTTAATTCAGCTTTTAGTTGCACATATCTCAGTTTCATCTTGTCTGGTCTTCACATTTGTGTGTTTGTGTGTGTCCGTGTTTTTTTAAAAACTACAGACAACTAGAGAAGAAGAAAAAGCTTAATGCCCAGTGGTTTCCCTCCTGTGGAAAACTGAAAGCCACACATTCAGGTTGATGAAAGTTCTATGGGGGATAAAAATTGCAAGAACCTCCAAAGGCAGAGAGAGTAAGACAAAGATGCTGAACTATTTTTTGCCCCTCTTTCCTAGAGCCATCTACATTCAACAATTCCCAGTAGCCTGGCTGAATCTTTTCTAAGACACCTCTAGCTGCCAGGATTCATCAGTCCTGGTACAAGTTTGATCAAAGGCAGCAATGCTTGAAAAGGTGAAAGTTCATTGACTGATTGGGTGTCTGCCCTCGGGCCAGACAGTCTGGGCCAAGGAAAGTATTTTGGCTTTTCTGCCTGGCTTTGGTAATATGCCAGAGTCCTGGATACGAAGGAAAGTCCCCCGCCTTGGGAAAGCTATCTGCCCGCTCAGCAGCAGATAGCCAAGGGGAAGACAATGACAGGATAACCATGTTTGAGATGAATGAGCAAGTAGTGGGTCTGGATAAGAGACAGTAACACAATCCCCCTTCAGAGATCAGATTCCAACTAAATGTATCCTGCCTTTCTTAATATTGAATCCAACCCAACTGAATGGTCTCTGATTAAAATTCTCAGGGGGAAACTAGCAATTTTCTGCTTTCCAGAGAACACTTTTTCATCCTGTTTTGTGCCACTGTCTTGCTTGACCATTGTAGTTTCAGCACCATTTGTTTTCCAGATTATCAGTCCTTGCCTCTTCCTAAATTCGTCATGTGGAAGATGGGGAATTGTGCATTGAGTGGAATCTATCATGATGCTGGCCGGCCAATCAAACGGATAGCAAGCAGAGCATCTGAAGGCAATATACAAAGAACACTCAACAGTGACAGAAAGAGAGGCATTTTGGAGCACTTCTAAAAGCGTCTGTGGAAAATCTGTGACCATTTTTTGGCTCTGCTCTAGGATAAGGGAATGTCTGTGAAAATCACATTTATCTGCACAGAATATGTACTGTAGATCGGAATTATGGAACACTACCCATGAGCAAGAGGCCATACATATAAAGCAGAGAAAGCTGAAACTGCCATACGTTCAATCCCCTTTTCTTTGGTACAATAGTGGAAACATGACACTTAACAGACAGTTGACTGTTTCATGTGGAGAATCCTTGGGTCACCTTAATGTAAAAGCTACTCTTAGGAGCATATGAAACTGCCTTATATTGAGGGAAATTATCACTGCACCAAGAATGGCATTGTTAATTGTGACTGGCAAAAGCATGCCAGGCTTTCAAGCAAGGTTCTTTCCTAGCCCTGATCACCACTGGTGATTTCAAGCCCTAGCTAGGATTCATCATGGTTAGCATCTGAAATTGGATGGAACGGGGGTATTCAAGTGGCAGTTGCAGGCCTAATAATAACCATGTGCAGTCAAATCTATTCTGATTTATGCTTCAGCATCGTTAGCATCTGAAATTGGATGGAACGGGTGTATTCAAGTGGCAGTTACAGGCCTAATAATAATCATGTGCGGTCAAATCTATTCTGATTTATGGCAATTTCGTTTTAGGGTCTTCCAGGTAGTGAACACTCAAAAGTGGTTTCCGTTCCCTTCTTCTAGAAGAGTCTCAGGACTGTGAAGCTTGCTCAAGGCTACACAAGCTAGCACCATGGGGAACTGAACTCCCAACCTCTCATTCTACAGCTAGATACCCAAACCACTGAAGCTATCCAGCCAACTATTATTCCACCTATGTCATATTTTCCCCATTGCAAACTTTCCATTAATACCTAAACTTCCAACAATGGTGGAATAGCAAAAAGGAGAGTAGACCACACATGCCCTCCTGAATCTCCAGTAACTCTAAAGTGGGGACTGAAGGATAATGTGGCAATGCCAGACCAATCACTTGCTGAGTTTTGACTATGGCTCATGAAGGACTTGTTGGCTGCAGACTAGAACTAACAAGCCACTGCAAGGAGCACTCTCATGTTTATCTTTGAAGCATTATATAATCCTTCACCTAATCCTGAGAAAACCTTGTAGAACAAGTTTGTATCATGAGCCCTATTCTGTCAGAAGATCAGCCATATAGGAAGAGCCTTACTGAATAAGAGATACAATTATTACTGCTAAAAAGGACTTGCATATTAAAGGTCTTCAACAGGTTGTTGCTGTTCTACGTGTGCATTATTGAAGTAAGTTCGTCACATTGTCTTTGTACCCAAAGAATGAAAGGTTAAGGTCAAACTAGACATTAAATGGAAAGCACATTTCCTATGCTTAATCCATTCCCCCTTCCAGAATGCAATTTCATCAATGAAACATATTTCCATGACCTGATTTGCAAATTAAGCCCATGTTTACCCATCAATGACCAATCAGAAAACAAAGCATGCTGAATACAAGATATGGAGATGAGGGAAATCAAGCACTGTGATGGACTCTGTCAGCAATTGAGGAAACACCGCTTCCAGAAACAAGCTAAGCGTATGATCTAGTCTGATCCTTAGATGATGTCACTGGGCTAACGAAGAGGCTTAGTGAATGCATGTCTGAGATTCAGGTGATCTCTGAAAGAAGCCTAGTACACAAAATTAGATATTAGGGGAGGGAGAGCTGCTGTGGGATGTAATTAGATCCTATTGGTTCACTTGCCATGCAAATCAAGAACACGCTGCTGTTTATTCGACTCTTGTACAAAAACAAAACAAAAACCTTGCCATTCCCCTCCTCCAACTGAGGTAGATGCCAATTTGGAGGAAAACAAAGGAGGAAACAGAAAGAAAGAGAGAAAGATGGAGGGGGGAGGGAGAGAAAGAGAGTGTTATCCAATGCCTCCTAATCTTTCAAACAAATCTAACTGGTGGGGGGGGGCTGTTGAGGCCAACAAAGTGCATATCTGCCGTTAAAACCTACATCCTTGCTTGGGTTAGGTTAGTAGTTATTATATGTTACACATGCCTCTGATCATGTGTGAGGTCTTGCGTTGCCAGGTCAAGTCAACACTCCTGAAGCATGCAGTCGCTGGTTGCCGGCAGAGGTCGGGGTGAACTGCATTTCTCAAAGGCAACAGGTTTTCCCGCATAGTCAATGCACAAGGCGTTTCGTGTCCGCACGCCCTCTCCACATGTCTGGGAACAGGGAGACCAGCGCCCCATCTGCCAGATGGGACACGGAAGGTCACTGCAGGGCTTGAGGTCCTCAGGTTTAAGGCTCTCGTCGCAGGTCGTCGAAATTTGCCCTTCCACATCCAGGCATTCCACTGTTCGCCTCTGCCACCCAGCGCCACAGGATCGGGAGCATTCGGACCAGTCTCCCAGAACCCATTGCGACGTCAACATGGGCTTGATGACATTGGCCAAGTTCTTCTCTTTGCTCTTTTGCTTGCTGAAGTGGACATCTTTGGGGATAAAGAACGTGTATTTCACCTTTGGGGAAGGGAGCACCTTGGGCAGGAACATCTTAGTAGAGACGGTCAACACCTGCACAGTGATAGATTCTGGGATTTGCTGGTAACTCTGGAGACGTTCCAAGGTTGTCAGGGATCCGCTGTACCTCAGAACAGTCCCTTTCACAAAAATGTCCTGCTCCATGGCTGAAACCGTGAGGTTTCCATTCAAGAGATATTTACCATCCAGCGTTTTCAAGGCTAAATAGTTTCCATCGTGCCTCACGCGGCTGTGTTGCTTGATATCAATGTTGGTTGCTCCTGCAGGTATTGTGACAATGTCATTATATCCAAACCTAAGGAGGCCAAATAAGTGGTTGTTACCTTCAGCTCAACAAAACACACACACACAAACAAAAGTCAAGTGTGGAAGAACCTACAAAGCTCACAGTCTATTTTCTTCGTATCAACCGAACTAAACCAAACCACATGTTCCTGTATGAGCCTCATGGACATCATTAACCTAACTGCACTGAAGCTGGTTTAATATGATCTAATACACTGGTTCTTAACCTTGGGTTACTCAGGAGTTTTGGACTGCAACTCCCAGAAGCCTTCACCACCAGCTGTCCTGACTGGGGTTTCTGGGAGCTGCAGTTCAAAAGCATCCGAGCAACAAAGGTTAAGAACCACTGATCTAATAGAATGTGCCACACTTTCACCAAATTGCTAAGTTCCAAGGTTCTTGAACTGGGGATAGGATGATTCATCACAAGGTGGACAATTGCTTCCTAGAAATGCAGCAGATGCAGGTGAAATGCTTCAGATGTTAAGAAAGGAGAAATTTGGGCAGGTATGGGGGGAAAAAACAACCACCACCAAGTGTGAATTATAAGTATGAAGTGATTTATGACTAATCTAAATCAGGATGGAGTAACTTAATCAAAGTGCTGAAGAAATACTGTCAGCTGTCTTGCGAAGAAGAACAGACTTCACATTTTACTGATTGGTGGTTCATCCTCTATCTCCAGCAACGGTAGCTGGCAAATTTCTTTTCTTATATGGGCATCAAAACTATGCATCCATTTGCTTCTGTATCTCTCGGCTCAGTTTTGTCACAGAGCCAAGACTCAATTGATCTATGATTTTGTGCTACTACAGAACTACTATTAAATCCAGCTCCAGCTGCATACTAAATAAGGAGATAAATAAACCCCGTGCATTCTTTCACCACACACTGATCTTCCTCCTTTGCAATACTAGGATTGGCCTGAGCTGACCCGTGTGTTTCTTACTTGGATCGGTTGAAGGAGCCTGTTATTCTTCTGCACGTCGAGCCATTCCCGCCACAAACCCCACACTTGTCTAATTTCTTGGGTGACCCAATGATGTGGTCGCAACCAGCCTTGACACACCGACCATGTACACAAACAGTCAGGGAGTCTGGCGCACAGGGAGTCCCATCAATCACCTGATACAGAAATGAAAGAAGAGCAAAATGAGACCAGGACTGACAAGTTGATATATCTCTTAGGACTGTAATGGACATTCCATTTACAAACGTCCCGCTTGCAGATGTCATTAAGATTTCCTTTAGTTGCATGGGAAGAGTTTGTGTGTGAGGGATGCTGATGGGGTCAGAATAACCTTCAAATGACCCAACTATGTGGAAACATTTTGTTTCTTTTCCATGAGTTTGGAACGAGCACTACCACTCCATTCTTGACAAAATCGTATCGGTGGTGGGGGACACGTGCAAGAGTGCTGGATCTAATCCAAAGTCTACCTAACTGAGCAATCTCCTTACCCATAAAGGTCAGACAAATTTCTTCAGAAAGCTCACGACTTGGGTATAAAAAATAGCCACCCACAAGCAGCTGGTTTTCAGTGGAATACTGCCTCCAAACTTTATATAGCAAATACTGACAGAGTACAGTTTTATGACACCTGCTGTTTTTTCATTAACGCCTTGAGGTACGTCAACCAGAGCCAGTGGGACAAAATTATGTGGCTCAGGTGGGGTCAACCCCCTATCACAACTTGTAAGTCTTATACTGTGCAGATCTGCATTGTTGCAGTGGCCACAGATCAGAGATGCTAACAGCTAAAACACATGCATGTATTGGGATGATAGTTTTGTTGTTCTTAGTGTTAATAGTCTAGGAGTAAAACAAAATCCAGTGCCCATCTAGCGCATTATCGCTTCAAGATCTTTCAGGAGACCTTGATCTATCATCTGCCCATCTCTGGACTGTAGCTATCATGATTATTGTCATGAGATAGTAAAGAATGGATTTGCGATCTACAAGAGACAAAGTCTGTGTTCTACCAGTTAGGTACATCCCCTTTCCTGCCAATTTGTTTGGTCAGTTAAATTTTCTCGTAGCTGTAGAGAAACTGCTTCTGAATAAATGGTTTCCAAATGGCAAAGAGAACATCGTAGCAGTTGTGCATGGAAACACGGGTGTCCATAGGGTTGGGATAAAGGAGCTGCTTGACCCCAGAATCCTACATGTGCTTACTAGTTTTTAGTGTATGGAGACAGATGCACTGTGTTTTCCTGGACCACAACATTTCTGCAAATTATCTTGTATGGAGAGAATCTCACAGAAGGTTTAATGGCCCGAGAGATTCTGAGTACTCTCAGACTAGATCGTAACAACAGATACTAAGTGTTCTTACTTTGTTGTCAAACATTTTGAATTCATTTCCCCTCTTAGCGCGGCAGACCAGCTTGCAGCGATCTCGTGTCGACACCCCTGCATACATGGGAACCCACTCCAGGAGGTTCCCATTGAGATCCGTGTAGTTATGGCTGTCATACTTTTCGCACTGTTGCTCTCGAAAACTCTTGTCTGCAAAGAAAAAGGAAGAGATTCCAAACTGATCTCACTGAAGACTGGATGGGCAATTCCTCCTTGTTTTATTTGTCTCATTCCTATTTGAGTCCGTATCTGGATGACAGGTCCTTAACAACACGGGTAGTCTCAAAATTGACTAATGTAATGCACACTACGTAGGGCTCCCCTTGAAGCTGCTATGGAAGCTTCAGAAGGTCCAAAAGCAGTGGCCAGATTGATTGCTGGTGTGAGAAAATTAGATCATATCTCCACAGTTTTGGTCGACTTCCAGTAGTTACTGATCCACATCTGGGCCAGATTGAAGGTTCTGGTACTAACTCATAAGGCTCTAAGTGGTTTGGGACCTTGTTTCCTGTTAGAATGTCTTCCTCCAAGTTCTGCTGCCCATCCCATAGGGTCTTCTCAGACCTCATGTGTGTTACAAAGAATAAGACTGTTACAAGGAATCAGGCTTTCTCAGCAGTGGTTCCTTGCATCTGGAATGTCCTCTCACAGGAAATGCATCAGGCCCCCTCCCTTCGGACCTTCCAGAAGCTCCTGAAGATGGAGGTTTTTAGGGAAGCTTTTGGGGATGCCCACCCTTAGTTAAAGGACAGAAGAGATGAAATAGAAAGGGAAACAATGAATGTTTTTGTTAAATTTAATGTTTTTCTTAAATTTATTGTTGCTTATCCTGCTGTATTGTAGATGTTACCGTATTTTTCCATGTATAAGATGCCCCCACTTTTCTAAACCCAAATTAAGAAATCTAAGTGGGGCTAAGCAAGTGTAGGGGGGGAAGGGATCAAAGCACTGAAGAATCGCTTTGATCCCTGCTTTCCCCTCCACTTGTGTTTGTTCTCTCCTTAGCTTACTTCTATGTATAAGATGACCCTCAATTTTTAGTATAAAGACTTTAGACAAAAGTATAGTCTTATACATGGAAAAATACGGTATATTGTTCATGCTTACAGCTGTTTTATTTTGTTATTGTATGTTATTTTTTGTGTCCTGTTGCAAACCACTCAGAGCAGTGGTTTCTGCTAGATGGATGGTATAAAATTAATTAATAAATAAATGAACCAGCACATTATGAATGTTTCCTCTGTGGTCTACAGTTCTCAGACTCCCTTGGTCCTGGGGGATTCTGTGAGCTGCAGTCTGAAAAAGTAATGTCTCCAAAACTTTACAGCACACTTGATGGTGCCCAGCAGCCAAATTCCTAGCCCCTCCTGACCGTAAACTGCGGTCAAGTCACAAGCCATCTGTCTTGTGGGCTGGAATCCTGTTCCTTCCTCCCAGAGCCTGTGGGAAGGAACACGTTGCTCACAAATATATAAACATAATTACCGCCAGGTGGGCATTCATCCGTGTTGCATGATTCATATTGGACTCTCTGGCCCTCACAGTATTTGCCTCCATTTTTAGGCAGAGGATTGTTGCAGTCTCTGTTAGAGAAACGTACTCCTCCACCGCACGTTCTGGAACATGTCCCCCAAGGACTCCAGGGGCCCCAGTTTCCATCCACCGCAGGCTGTAAGACACAAATCCCTTGGTTATGACTTTCACTCCCTTTGGTTTCCTACTGGAGGGTTATATTCCCTGCCTTCTGGGAAGAACGTAACTGCTAGGGAAGGCCAGTCCAGTCCCATCCCTCAATCTCCAGTGCCTTTTTTCCCCTTCTCCCTCCTTGTTTCTTCTTCCTTTTGTGCCATATCTGCTAGAATCACAGAATAACAGAGTTGGAAGGGGCCTATAAGGCTATTGAGTGCAGCTGCCTGCTCAATGCAAGAGTCCAGGTCAAAGCAGATATGCCAAAGGCTTGTCCGTTTTTCTCTTGAATGCCTCCATAGTTAGAGCTCTCACCACCTGCTGGTATATTATGTCTAAAGCATTCCCACTGTCTATCAGAGAGGCTACCCAATCAATGGGTAGAGTATACACATATCTGATTCTGAAATGGCAGGATGCTAATATCCTCCCATTGCCAGTTCTCTGTACCCAATTCCAGCCTCACACCAATGCTTTTTGTTAAACAAAAACATTGAAAAGAGAGATCACAGAGCTGCTCTTTGGGTGTCATTTCCACCCTTAGTCAATGATGGGAAGCCTGCTCTTCACTCATAGATTACCTTGGGCGTCACAGTATCTTGAGCCACACAGTGGCCATCCAAACACATCTTCCCTGCCCCACAAGGTGTCCCATCTGCCCAGGGCAAGCTGCCATTTTTGGTGTGGCACAGCCGTTCTCCTGCCTCCAGCTTGCACCAAAGCTGGGAGCAGAGATCTTCATGGGTCGCATTGGGGCAGTGTTGGAACTCTTGGCCGAATATCTGCTGGCACTGATGATCCAGGCTGTACAGAGACACTTGGCCTGGGAGGTCTCTGGGGAGGGCAATGGGTTCAGCTGGTTCATCCAGTAGGCAGTCACCTGAAGAGAGAAGAAAGCACAAGGAGGTTGCTTTGCAGGTTGTATTTCCTATTATTATTATTATTATTATTTATTTGCAGAGCTAGGCTGATTTCATGAAAGTGTTATGGAGCTGCTTTATTAAACAGATAGTCTTCTGCCTCAAAAAGCCCCCTGACAGAAATGTGCGCAGTTATGGGTACAATGTCATGAGCACAGACAGAGAAAGTGGCTGCTCCATTTCTACAGGACAGGATTAGAACAGAACAACTTTGCACAGTTACAGGCAGAGCTCCTGTATGAAGAACAAATTACTTTTTATCCTAGCAGAAGTTTCACTCACTCTGCTTGTTTGAAATTAGGTTGCTTCTGTTTTGCGATTGATCACTGGGTGGTAAAGAGGGGTTTCATTTGCAAGTGTTTTTTTTTTTTTTTTGCACAGAGCTGGGAATAATGTTCCTGCTTGAAAGGCATATGTGGCAGCAACAGGAAATATGCCATTTATATATCTATAATGTCCCATTTGAGCCTTACTCTCATTGATATGGGATATCCAGTGTGGTAGAGTGGAGAGAATAATGGACTAGGATCCACAAGACCTGAGTTCAAATCCATACCTGGCCATGGAAACTCATTGGGTGAGGGCACTGTGGAGCCTGTCAAGCTTATTTTACTTCATTAATGTTCTTTGTAGTCTACCCTTCATCCTGAAAACCAAGGGCAACTCATTTCCATTGGATATTTCCGCTGTTGTTTTCTATAGCCTGGTGTTCCTTTAGCCGCTAATCATTTTTGCTACTGGCAGAACAAAGCTTCAGAAGACATGAACTGAATACCAAAGGTCTTAAATCATCACTAGATGTGAAATGCCACAACTGAAATCAACCAACCATCGTTGTTTCTTTATCCTAGAGCCCTGTGTGAAAGTTTTGGCACATTGTCTCTGTGTTCTCAATCTTATGTCTGAGGAAGTGGACTTGATCCATGAAAGCTCATCAGTAGAAGTGTCCTGATAGACATCCTGAATAGATATTGAGTTGACACCTACCGTGTCCTCCATCCAGAAATTCTGTGATGTACATGGCACTGCAAGGGGACCACGGCAGGGTCTTATTCAAGTGGATAAACAGAGGAGCCATCATATGGTGTTTTCCTAGGGTACCAAAGAGCCTCTCACAGGTCTTGGAATCATCATGGGGCATGCTGAGCACATGGCCTGGAACAGAAGAGGAGAGAAACAGGACATCAGAAGGTTCCCCCTGTGGTTCACAAGGTCTTGAGATGGGCACAGCTTCCCTGCCCCACCGCCTCTGGGTGTTGTCCGCTGGAAGGGGTGGGGCACCCAACCACAGAATACCTGCTTGACCAACATGCAAACGGGCAAGAACTGCCAAACTGAACTGACACGGACCAATGGGTTTGTGCCCATCTCTGTTCACAACCATTTTTATCTTGCTTCTTCCACCGAAAGAAGTCTATGGAATCTGTAACACGCCATACCTTTATACTCAAAGAGAACATCCAAAAGAATATCTAAGCGTGAAAGAGCCCAAAGCCATTCACCTAAACCCTTTCAACCTGCAAAATGTGTATTAGCTTTAAAACCCAGCTTTTAATATAATATCACTTTTGAATAATCTGAACATTTCCCACAAATATCTTAACATAGAGTTAACGATGCCTTGGAAAGAGGGTTTCCTAAATTCTATAAGTACCGTATTTTTCTGTGTATAAGACTATACTTTTGTCTAAAATCTTTAGACTAAAAATTGAGGGTCGTCTTATACACGGAAGTAAGCTGAGGAGAGAACAAAAACAAGTGGAGAGGAAAGCAGGGATCAAAGCGATCCTGCAGCGCTTTGATCCCTTTCCCCCCCTACACTTGCTAAGCCCCCCTTAGATTTCTTAATTTTAGATTAGATAAGTGGAGGGGGGCATCTTATACATTGGGGCATCTTATACATGGAAAAATACGGTATATCCCGACTTAATATTTTTTGTACATGAACAGAAAGAAACCCAAGCACAAAACATTGAAATTTCAGATAGTTTGGGGATGGTCCTTGTGTGCTGACCATTTTTCTGCATATTTGATTCTGGGATGACAGCCTGTTCTCCATTCCATATTGGTCCATGTTCTATTCTCTTGATCTTGAACATATGGAGCTTAGCATCTCTACTGTTTGAACCAGCTAGTAATTCTGGCACACCGTATCCTTTTGTACGTGGCATCTACCTAGTTCGTGAGCCAAAGTGTAGGCTGCCTGGAGACCTTCATCTTCGATCACAGAACAACTTTTGTTGGGGTCACACATGGTGCCGGTCTCAGCTACTCCGAGTGTGCTGCAGCTCTGGTGTCCACAAAAATCCTGTGAATAAGAAAACCAAGACAGAAAAACACATAAAGAAAGCATCCTTTCCTTCAGCCAACCTTCTCATGCACAATGACGAAGAGCCAAGGATGGACTGGAGCAAGTTATTAGACAAGGGAGTTCCTTGAGTGCCCAAAATATCTGCTTGTTCCAGCAGAAGATTTTGATAGTTCTCACATTGTACGTCAGCTTGCCTGGGATGCCTTAAGCCAGTGGTCCCCAACCTTGGGCCTCCACATGTTCTTGGACTTCAACTCCCAGAAATCCTGGCCAGCAGAGGTGGTGGTGAAGGCTTCTGGGAGTTGTAGTCTAAGAACATCTGGAGGCCCAAGTTTGGGGACAACTGCCTTAAACGTTCTTGATTACTTAATGGATTTTAATTGTCACCAGGGGCTTTTGTACCTGTCTTGTCAGAAGGATTGCTGTATCGTAATGTTCTGGGTGACGGTCGCTTGGCGGGTTGAACTGCTGCTGCCAGTTGCAGAAATTTCGCAGCATCAGTCCTCCGTTGTCGGAAACCTCTGGCCCGGAGTTCTCGGCTTCGATCACTAGCACTTTTACCACCACCAGATTGATGGGGTTTTTGAGGCTAGGGTGCTTGTAGATCTGAGCAGCCACAGACATTAAGGTGAGGATGTGATTCTGAAAAAAAGAACAGAAACAAACAATAAAGGAACAGCCAACAAAGATACCACAGTCGAGGAAGGCTTTATTTTTATGGTTCAGTTTGCATCACGAAAAGAGAAAAACAGCCTAGGCGTGTGTGTGTTTAAATTGCCTTCTTGCAGCCCTTTAGACTGTAAAGTTTAATGTTTCAAGCCTGTTTCACTGCATAGCAGGGGAACAATGAAACTGCTAGGCAGAACATATTTAAAAGTTATTTTTTATTCCAAGCTATTTGCATTAAGTTTCACCTCCATTCCAGCCAACAGGCAATTTAAAGTTCTTATGCAGTGAAATGAGCATACATATTGAGGTATTTAAAATTCTGCCCAGAGACACATGGCAGACATCTTAATCCTGGGTATATATAGTTTAAGACAGATTTCTTTCCTCCACTTCCTCCTCACCTTTCGGAAACATAATTTGCATGGAAATAATGGTTTGCTGTGTCGAAAAAAGTTGGAACAAATTTAGTGCCGGTTTGCCTGAAGTTGGAGCTGATGATTTGCTTTCTAAAAGTGTTGTATAAATGCCCTGCTCCCTCTCCTCACGAACTGCAAACGCAGACATTTTCTCCAATTCCCACATTTTTGTTAGAGGAATACCCTTCCTGGCCAACCTCAAAGTCAAGCTTCTATGGCATCTTCTACTTTCTTCAAGACCATTCTAGAGAGACTTTGAACATATGTGGCTGGAAGGAGGGAGTGTCTGGTAGATCCTGATGCCTCAAAGTCTACATTAAGTGAATTGGCAAAATCCACTGATGTCTCTCGTCCTCTTTCTCATCATTATCTACTACCAGCAGTGCTTTTTTGAGCCCCCGAAACAAGTAGCACTGTCTCCTAGACCTTCTGCCATGCGGCATGGGCAACAACTCCCCAATGAAAAAAGGGGAGGAAAATGTGGAATTCCCCCACGGAAAAAAGGGGAAGGTTTATGCTTTGAAGGAGGAGGAAAGTAAATAGGGCCAGGAAATGTTGTTCTTTATTTTCTGCTCAACAATACATTCTTTTCATGTATTGAAAACTAAATTTTTGTCCCCTAGGGCAAAAGGCTCACTTGCTGTGCTCCAGTTACAACTCTGCAGAAAGTTAATTGATTTTACTTCTCCAGTGTACACAAGCTCTCTCTCTCTCTCTCCTTCCTCCATTATCATGAGGATTACAATGGGCCACACCTGGAGATCCCTGCAGTGAAGATGGCTGCTTATAGGGCGAATAATCTGCACAAGCTTATTAAAGTAGCTGTTGTTGTTTTTTAAACTAGTTTTTGGAAGTGTGTTGCTCTGTGCTCTGCTGTAGAGTTTTATAAATTTGTGAGGCTGTTTGTTATGGAGATCTCTTCAGAATCTGGTGAACTAGGGGATTTATGTCCAACTGGCTCCACTGAGTTCAATTGTATGGACTCAGAGGACAACCTGAAGAGTGAAGATGCACCATAAACGTCTACTGTCTAAGACACTCATTTGTAATATGTCTAGATGGGAGGCCAGTGAAAAATCATGAATGAGCCAACTGAAGGAAGCTAGAAGTGCAATAAGTAGGAAATCGTTGTAATAATAATAATAATAATAATAATAATAAGGGAACATATTACAGGCAAACCCAAAGCTTGGAAAAATTACTTTTTGGATATAATTCGCAGAATCCGCCAGCCAGCATAGCCAAAGCTGATACAGATAAGGAAATACTGGATATTAATAGCTCAAAAAAGTAACTTTTATTTTTTATTTCTTTTATTTAAAATATTGCTTATCCCACCTTTCTCCTTAAAAAGGAACCAAGGCAGCTTACATTATTACAAAACAATGTTTAAAGCCAACGGTATGGATAGACAAATACCAAAAAAGGTCAAATAAATACCATACTAAAGAACACAAGCAACACCAATGCACATTCAAAGCAGTAAGGTAGAACAATCAATTTAAAAACTTTACTCAGGCAGCCAGTCACTAAGGGAAAGCTTTCCTGAAGAGAAAGGTTTTGCCTGCTTGTGGAAGGACAGCAAAGATGGGGACAGCCTGGCCTCTTGTGGGAGGGAGTTCCAGAGTCTGCGAGCAGCATCAGTGAAGGCCTTCTCCTGTGTCTCCATCAGATGCACCTGTGAAGGTGATGGGAACGAGGGAAAGGTCTCTCCTGATTATCTTAACACTTGAGCAGCTCATAAAGGGAGAGGCAGTCCTTGAGACAGCTTGATCCCCAAGCCGTTTAGGGCTTTATAGCCAACGCTAAATTTTATTTTTGTGTTGCAAAGCAACTGACGTTCGTGCACAAGAAGCCTATAAATACCAGTTCTTGGGAGTGTGAGGAGGTATGTCCTGGCGGTGGGCTGTCCAGAGACATTTGGTTGGCCACTAGTAGAAACAGGACACCAGACCAGATGGATCTTGGGTCAGATCTCGGGACGACAGCAATTCCTGTCTTCTAGCAGCTCATTTTCGAGAGGCGTAGCAAAGCCTCTTCTTACAGCGTGTGCTATGATGAGCGTTGCATTCCGCGGGCTACGTAGGAGATTATATAGCAATGACATATTTGTGAATGGGACATATTCCCATGCAGGCCATTTGCGCCCGGTCTCAAGTGTTTACCCTACATCACCTTCTGTTTGGGTAAACGAGACAGAAAGGAGATGACTTCATATGTCAGATGTTCCAGCTATGCTGAAAGGCTGATGCTAACATCTTATCAGCAAGTCAAAATTCTGTCTCCTTTTGGCACTGGCTCGTGGAACTGTGTTCACGAGACAAAAATGCAATCATTACACAATACGGAGACTGTTAAGAAACAGCAGAGGGTCACTTTGTTTCCAGGCATGCTGCCTTCTGTAAGCTCCCCGTCTCTTGGACCTCACCATAATATTTAATCAATAGGTTGCACAGAGAAGACTTAAGGTCAGATCAGCTGTAAAAAGATAACTTCCCCCCATCCTCTCCTGCTACCTGCTTCAGCCCTAAGACTGTGCCCGCCTGAAGCCATCCCAGCAGTCACTAAAACAACAGAGATTAGAACACTAGTAGGCCTTCATTTGAACAGGCTGCTTTGTTGCTGAATGAACCATATCCCCTACCATCAAATAAATCAGGATGATGAAGACTGAGGATAAACTGCTTTTAATCTAATCAAGTGCCCAGGACTAAGAAAAGACCCGACTGGCGGTCTGTATTGTAGCTTCCTACAGATTCAGAAGCTTTATATGTGGGCAGCTCTAAAGTGAAGAGACACCTACAATGGAGGAGTTCCTGAAGAAGCTGTTGGACATTACAGCAGTCGTCTCCAACCTTGGGCCTCCAGATGTTCTTGGACTTCAGCTCCCAGAAATCCTGGCCAGCAGAGGTGGTGGTGAAGGCTTCTGGGAGTTGTAGTCCAAGAACATCTGGAGGCCCAAGGTTAGGGACCACTGCATTACAGAACTAGATACACTCTCAGAAGCACTATGAGAACAACCAAGAAATTTGGGATTCAATGAGGTCTGAATCTCTGTCCTCAAAGGGGGAGGGGGATTTTTTTCTTTTTTTCTTTTTTTCCTCATTTCTTTCTCTTTTTTCCTCTGTTATCTTATATTGCACATTTGTTTGTAGCTGATAGATTTATATGTTCAAATTAAATAAAAATGATATTTTTTTAAAAAAAATTAAAGCTTTCTATTAGTCAGTGACAGCAATCTGGCCATCGGACATCACCTAACTTCCAAAGCCAAAAGGATTGTGGGCTTTGGTGTGGATATCTGTTATTCTTTCTTCTAGCCAACCGGACGGATAGAGCAAGAAGCTAGAGGCTCATCTCTTGTAGTCATGATGCATTTCATCTTACACTATTGAAATGAATCGGGAGCTGAATCAGGTTTTTGAAATCGATTCGAAGTCACACGGTAGTCACATGCTTTTTGGATTGGCGTGTAGGTTCTCTTGGGCCAGCTTTTAATCTGGGTGAAAGATGGGTGATATATCAGTTGAGGCTTTTAAAAATCATTTAAAATTTGGCACAGTGGGGGGCTCCAGCTTCCCGTGTTTCACCCTCCTGAGGCGATGTATTCCCAGAGTAAAATGTCTGGACTGAAAAACGAAAACAAAACTCTGTGCTGGCAGAGCTACTGGGAGATGCTCTGATTGCTGGCGCATCATCCTTGAACTGCTTTTGAGGTTTTTGTGATGTGCCCATATGTCCTTGCAAGAACTGCCTCTCACAAGCATTTGTCAGCACTTCTGCCTATCGCCACTCAACTCCTCACATTGAGTTGACATGAGTAGCGGGGACAAAAGTCATGTTCTTCTGCTGGGGTGTGAATTTTAATCTTTGTTTTCTTTATGTATAACAGATTGGACTGCAAGGTTACCCTTCCCCACTTCTTCTCCCACTTTCTTCAGCCGGAAACCAGCTGCCTCAGCTACTCCACTTCCCTGGAGGAAGAGAGGAAGAGTAGGCAGGCCAGAAGAGGTTAAAGTGATTTTTTTTTTGTCTCTTGTCATGTTTCAATATTTGTTTTCCCCCTCCACAAACTGAGATAGTACTAGATCAGTGTTAAAGGTAAAGGTAAAGGTTCCCCTTGACAATTTTTGTCCAGTCGTGTTCGACTCTAGGGGCCGGTGCTCATCCCCGTTTCCAAGCCATAGAGCCAGCATTTTGTCCGAAGACAATCTTCTGTGGTCACATGGCCAGTGCGACTTAGACACAGAACGCTGTTACCGTCCCACCGAGGTGGTCCCTATTTATCTACTCACATTTGCATGCTTTCGAACCGCTAGGTTGGCGGGAGCTGGGACAAGCGACGGGCGCTCACTCCGTCATGTGGATTGGATCTTACGACTGCTTGGTCTTCTGACCCTGCAGCACAGGCTTCTGCAGTTTAGCCCACAGCGCCACCATGTCAGTGTTACAGACAAAAAAACCACATATAACAGACCAGACTGCAAGGTTACCCTGCAGCCTGGAAACTTGTGACCATACTGTAGCATCCAATCCAATGTCTGAGAAATCCCACAG